AAGGACTTGTATCGCTAAAGTTCCTCGGAAAGAATTTATAACGGAAATTAACAAACGAGCAGATACGTAACAATATCATTGGGTTTCATTTTATAAAAACATATAACAACTGTCAAAAGTTGTATAAAATACTTTAAGTGTATTCAAATGAAAGCATGGAGAGTAACTGAGCTATCATTTCTTACTATTGAGATAAAAAAAACTAAATTTAGAATGGATCAATTTTTGTATAACGTGTAGTTGATCTGATTTCTCTCAAAATCGTATAACGAGGAAGATATTTGTTATAATTATAATAGTTTTACAAAACCAACGTACGTATAACGAGTACCATAATATATAATGCAGTAACAAATTATAACTAACTAAGGGGTATTTCTCAGTTTTTCATATTTTCGTGTTTTTTTCTTCTAATTCTCAAAATAGTATTAAAATTATATACAGTTCTTACTTAAGTTATAGAAATTTGGACCTGATGTGGCATGGTGTTAACGTGTCCGAATTGTGGACCCCAACCTTTTATGGTTCGCGTCCCGTTGCTCTCAGAAAGAGCAACCTACATCTTGGGACTGTATATATCTAGCTATAAGATTGACGGTCAGATAACAGTATTCCAAGGGTTAACGATGGGTGCTACCTCCCCTCTAGTCTAAAAATTAGGGACGTCTATGCACAGATAGCCCTTTTTTTTGTCCCGTTGTGCGAAATTTCTGAAATAAACGAATTCTAGAAGCTTATATATCAACAACAGAATATCGTGGATTTATTTGTCATTGTCCATGAAAAATTTTTTATATCATTTTTCCAAGCTTAGATGAAAATTCTTATGACTCATAAAGTTGCTTTGTTTTCTCCACTAGATTGCAAAACAGTTCATGATTTGAAATGATTCTTGATAAAGTACTTGTTTCTCAGAATATGAGGTTTTGCAATTTCAATCTTTAATTTATTTCCAACAACGTATAATTATTTTATGTGTTTGTTCGTTTGTATTTATAGC